TTGAACTAATTTAAGCCACTTATTTAAATTGATTTCTTTTCTCTTTATATATATAGCCTAAAATAAAAATAATAGGGGTGAGAAATTAGGTACTAACAATAATATGATAAAATTTGAGAAGGTTAGTTTCTCAAGACTACAAACTTCAAATATTCTCACATAACAACATCTTTTTATTTATTCTTTTGTCTAGACTATAGTTAAATAAGAATTAAGATTCAAATAAATTTAACTCTAGGTGACGTCGAACTTATCCTATCATCAATCTTCCATTCCCATTTGGGATTTTTTTTAAAACAAAAAAAAAAATCTTGTTTAAGATTTTATAAGAGATTTTGATGGAGAATTGGGCAAAAGGTGTAGACAAGATATGATAGCTATAGAGTATATGAGATCATGCAACCATAGTGATGGTTGATGTTGTTTTCTTATTTATCATTTTTTTAGCTTAATATTATTCTTATATTGGCCAAAAGAGTGATAGATAGTATTGATAAAAAAAATCTTTTTATCATTTTTTTTACTAAAAAATATATTTCTTTTAATGAATTTTTTAACTTCTATTTGTTTATTCTTACCTTTTGATTTATATGGAGATATTCTATTAATTTTAGGAATAAAATTAAAATTTACACACTATTTTTGACAAAAATAGATGAAAATAAAGAGTAAAATAAATATAAAAGATACAGAGTTGTGATTGAAATAAATAAAAGAAATAAATGATATTGAATCAACACATAAGCGTCGGAATGACGAATTGAAATTTACCCTTCTTTTGTTTAGAATTATTATTATGCACCTTCGGTATGCATATAGTTCAAATTATCAAACAAGAGTGCTGCCTAGAAAAAGTATTATATATGGTTATGATTTAAAGGTTTGATGAGATCGAGGATGATAATATGCATTGAGTTATAAACTTGAATTAATAAATTTAATTATTTGAAGTCATATCAAACTACTTATTGGTCAAGATGTAAAAAAATTGAAGTGTTTTTTAGTATTCCAAATAATTACAAGGTCATGTTTGCACGCATTGAGATTGGGTCTATTAATTAAAATTTAAAATTATTAATAGTTGAATTTAATATTTTAAATTTGTTTTTGGGATTTTTAAATAGTTTAAGAACTATTCGGAAAGTATCATTAAGCTAATATTTTTTAAGTTATGAGAATTTTTTTTCAGTTGTTACTACAATTAATTGCATTATAGAGACTTTATTATCTACATGGGAGAAGTTGATTTTACTAGGTTGATTTATTTGACATCACATAGGAATTCATAAAAATAGTTTAAAACAGAGTTTGCTGAAAGCTTTTTATTCTAGTTTCCAACGTATGATTTTAATCATCCTAAAGGTTAAAAAAAAAAAGAAGAAGCAATCTCTAAGTACGTAATTTTAGATGAGGTTTTAATTTTATAATTGATTTTATTCTTTCAAAATCACATCCTGGAAAGTTTCAAAATATTATAAAAGCATACCATATGCACCACTAGAGATCATCGCTCGCCTCTATTGCTTGCCCATTTCCTCACAAGGGTGTCCCGTATCCAGATTTTCAATTGATATTAATTTTGATCATCTTCATGTATGTAATTTTGATCTCTATGTATTGAGATATCTCATGAGATTCTAAATTTGCATCTTCATGACACTTGCATTAATTGACATTAATTTTGATCATCTTCATATGCATAATTTTACCTCTTTTAAATTTGCGAGTGGTCGAGAGCAAATTAGTCGAATGGAAATCAATTTTTGTTCAAAATTTTAAATTCGAGTTTCCCAAGATCAACTGCTAAACATGCTTGTTTACCTTAATTTAATAGCCGATCTTGAGATATCTCATGAAATTCTCTTCTCTGCTATGAGTTGAGTTTGAAATTGACATTGAAGTATCATATGTTGTCGGTGTCTCTAGTAAAACTTCGGTGACTTTATTTCACTAGTACCCATGTCTTTAATTAGCTAATTCCTTGTAAGATTAATTAAGCCGGTAAGAATAAGAAGAATAGTCCGGAAGAATCGAAGAATCGGAAAAATTATGTCCTATAACGGGAGTAGTTCGACTTCTTGCTATCAAATTGTCCCGACATATTCATTAAATTTTGATCGTGGTTATACTCGGTTATTAAACTTAATCATTTCGGGTAGTTAATTTCTAACCAAGTATAATATGTTTCGAAGGTTTAGGTTAGTTAGTACGTGGATTTGCTCTTGAGGTACGAAGAGGTAGTAAGAAAATAATATATTTAAATAGTCTATTTTGAATCTATGCATGATCATAATTTTTAAATTTAAATTATAAATTTGATATATTTCAAATTAGTGGCTTGATAAAATTAAATTTCTTGTAGTGCTTTTATATATTTTTTAATTTCTTGTTTATTTAAAGACATGGAGTCTTGTTTACATGTGAAGGGAGCCACTTTCCCTTGTTCAAGATCTCATAAATAAAATAATCTTTGATTATAATTTTTTATTATGCTTGATAAATTCTCATGTATCCCAAGAGTATCCATCAATTAATACAACTCCTGTCAAAATGGCATGGTTGCCTTCTCAATTCCATGATTGGGTTGGGGCTAATTGTCTAAATGACACTAAATGATAGAGTTATCACTTCTATCCGTCTCAAAATTTTAATCTTTTTTTTTTTTTTTTCACACGAACGGAAAAAGGAAGAAGTTGATTTTAACTCATGGCTCTATAGTTAGTGTCATAATAGGATTTCTTAGCTTTTACACAATAGCAAGAAATAAGTGATCTTGTTTATAAAGGATAATACCGATTCCTATTTGTCATATAATCTATTTCTAAATTTTAATTGCTTTTATGACAAAATTTATTATGGTTATTAAATGATACAATGGTAAATATATGATATCATTCGATTCCTATTTGTTACCAAACACAATAAAAGTTATTTCAATGTTTTATTTTGATTCCTAATAGTAAGATACCAAACACGAGCATTTTGATTCCTATTCTCATTCTCCTTCTCATTCTCTATTTTTCATTCCGATTCCTCATTCTCATTTCGATGCTTCATTCTTGATTACCAAACAACACCTTAAGATCCAAAATATCTTACGATGCAATAAACGAACAAGAAACAATCACGTGCCTTAGTATTTCTATCGACACAAAATAATTCACATAAGAAATAAATGGGGAGATTTTTTGGGATTAGACAACGGAAATTTGCAATGATATTTCACCTCTTTCCTCCCATATATTAATCGTATGTGGAGATTGATAATTCTTATGATCAGTCAATACACGCAAAGAAGTATCGCAATCCCTTGACAACCATCTAAAATGCGTATGTAATACTTTGAGAGCTATCAATTTCGATTCATAATAAAATGATCGATTGGTCTATTGCCTATTGATAGCTTGGATTTTGGAAGAGGCTCGTCATAGATGCATCTTCCAGTCAATAAGGGAAAGTTAGCAAAGCATCTTGATGGCTGACCTTAACCGCTTAACGTCAAAACATATGAAGAAAATTTATGAGAATCGGACTTGAATCATCGTTCAAGGTTGGTTGTTGACTATGTGATCATGTACTTTAATTTCCATATTAAAGTTTGACTATGCTATTGCATACCTAGCTAGCTAACACCTTGAATCATCGATCAAGTTATTTTTTCCTCGGTTATGTCAGGACACTTGACACTGAAATTTCTTTTACTGTTACAAGGAGTGCTGAAATTTTGAAATGACAGAAAAATTCCATGAAAGGGCATTTTTCTGAATGGTAGTTCTGTATTTTATGAATGACTGCACAGCAACAAACCTCAAGGATAAAATCCAAGAAGATGTGCAAAGGAAGCCCTAAAATCCAAGTAAACATTTTATGGGCGTTGACTTGGTTATATTAAACATGCCTCTTATTTTGGTATGCTCAGATTTACTTTTGACAGTATGCCTTTTCATGGTCAAATAAAATGTTATTTATTAACTCGACACTTCAATTACCCTTTTCTAGCACCTTGAGAGCTGCTAGATTTTGGTATTCAGTATAATGTCATAATGATGCTTGAACCAAATTTCAGGCTTTTAACCTTGCTTGTGAATTTGATTTATTTTGAACCAAATTTCAGGCTTTAACCTTGTTTGTGAAATTTGATTTTTTTTTTATTATATATATATATTAAATAAAAAAGCTGAAGGTTACATTAATGGATATTCAACTCAAAGAAAACGTAGCAGACAATCATATGGCATACTAAAATACAGTGATGAGAAACAAGCGTTCGTAACATTTCACGCCAGCCACTGCTTTTATGAAGTTTTTTTTTTAAAAAAAAAATACTCAAACATTCAAAGCTCTTAATAAAACTACTCTGTTAGGATTTAAACCAATGATATCTTATTATAAAAGACCAATACTACTGAACTACAAACTTTTTTATGAAGTTCCCTGCTCCTAAAAATACAAAAAACCACTACCACTAAACTACAAACCTTTTTATGAAGTTCCCTGCTCCTAAAATCAGAGGACACAGGCAATGGAGAATCGGTAAAGAATTGACGAAGTAAAGAATGAATGGATGGAAACTTGCTAAAGATTTCAACCTCTATTTTTCTTTTTATCCTGCAAGTTCTGAATTTGGTTCAAGGTGTTTTAATTCCGTCTCTAAGAGCGATGGGAGGGATGCTTTAAAAGAACACCCCAGTTCAGTTTTTATCCAGACCCGTAAGATTTCTGTGCATCACTTAAGCACACAGTTTTGTGTAATTATGCAATGCAACTAGTGCTTCATATACAGTTTTGTGTAACTAACTTACAATGAAGCACCATAATAGCTGCTATAAAAATAACATAAAATTCTAAAAGAGCAGTAAGCAATAAAACATTACAGTAAGTCAAAATCATTAAACAGGCAATACAAAGTAAACTTCAAATGGTAGTACAGAGTAGTTATGGAAATCCATTGTAACTAATTAGCAATCCTCACTTTTGTCCAAAAAATTGCTATGGTCATATTACTTGTATATGAGAGCATCACGTCCCGGCCCAACACCAATGTAATGAATGGGTACACCAACAAGCTCCTCTATCCTCTCCACGTATTGCTGTGCAGCCTTTGGAAGGTCCGCATAGTTTCTAATCGAAGAAATATCACACTTCCATCCAGGTAAAATTTCATATTCCACCTGAACAGCATTGGAAACATATGAATTAGAGAAAATTCCACAGGACACTTGATAAGAGCATAAGATAAAAAAATAAATAAACAAAACTCCTTTTACAGTTGTGCATAAGATAAATTTAATCTGACAATGGGAAAGACAAGCTTACCTTTAGTTCTTCAAGGAGACAGAGATCGCCAGGAAATGATTCAATTAGTGTACCATCAATTTGTTTATAAGAAACACCTATCTGGATTTCAGAGAACTCTGACAACACGTCAAGTTTGGTGAGGTTTAGAGAAGAAAAGCCATTAATCTGACAAACATACTTCAATGCAACTACATCAAGCCAACCACAGCGACGAGGTCGACCAGTAGTTGTTCCAAACTCCTGCCCAGCAAACCTTAGGAGGTCACCCTCTTGACCCAATATCTCAGTAGGAAAAGGACCAGAACCAACCCTTGAAGTGTAAGCTTTTACCTGCAAGCAAATTTGATAGGATGAACTAGAATGAGCATCATAAGTCTCTCCAACTTATCGTTTACTATTTATCTGTTAGCAGTATAATCAATAAACACTCCTTGTATTCTTTCAACTTAGAAGGTAAGTGCTATCAATGCACTTATCAAAGCTCCATATAAATCTCCTAATAGGCTTTCTTAAGAAGAAAAAGGATAGGACTATCATGTATATTACAAAAATCTTTTGTGAAAAAATGTGACGTCTTAGTAGCAATTACCAGCACACTAATAATACAAAAGAGGACAGAATAGTTCTAAAACATAATAAAAAAAAAGACAAATACATATTTACCACTCCAATGAGATCACCAACTGCTCGGGGAGCAATGCCAAGACCAATACAGATCCCACCAGCTGATGGGCTCGAGGAAGTCACAAAAGGGTAAGTTCCAAAATCAATATCCAACATGGTAGCTTGACCACCTTCAACCAAAATCTTCTTCTTGTTTGAAATAGACTCATTCATAAAATGCACAGTATCCGTGACAAAAGGCTCCAACCTCTCAGCAAACCTCTTATACCTCTCAACTTCTTCCTTAAGCATTTCTGGACCATATTTAAAACTTTTAAATCTCGAAGCAGCATCAGATAACAAAACATCAAGCTTTTGAGGAAATGTATCCATATACCTCAAATCACATACTCTAATCCCATTCCTAATCATCTTACTGGAATAACACGGTCCAATCCCTCTCTTAGTAGTCCCAATAAATGACTTTGCTAGCTCAGCCTCTCTTAGCCCATCTATTTCTTGATGAAAATCAAATAAGAGGTGTGCACGATCAGACACTAATATTCTACCCTTACAAGAAACCCCATTAGTTTCTAACCCATCGATTTCCTCAAACAAACCCGGCAAATGGACAACAACCCCATTCCCAATCACACAAAGAGTATCCTCATTAAGAATTCCTGAAGGAACAAGGTGCAAAGCAAATTTTTTTCCTTCCGAATTATAAATAGTGTGACCGGCATTCGCTCCGCCCTGCAAATTAACCGTCACTTCAACTAAATTAAAAATTTCCGGCACTGAGAATCCAGGAAAAAAAAAAAACAGAAATGCCAGTGAATATTTTAAGTAAAAATTGTATACTTCTATAAACGAGTACCTGGCAGCGAGCAACTATGTCGAAATGTTGGGCCAAGATGTCGACGAGTTTTCCTTTGCCTTCATCACCCCACTGAGAGCCTAAGACCCCGGAAACTTGACTCAATGAGTCGATTCGACTGGGTGAATCACTAGTGACTGACTCCGCAACGCTTAAGGAAGCAGAGGCAGGGGGTTTGATGGACGACCATGATACGACGTTTCTTCGGCAACTGAGGTTGAGTCCGTGGTGGGCCGGACGGTGAGACCACTTAAGGTTGGAGTCGAGACGGAGAGAGGAGAGGTTCATGGTGACAACTGAGAAGTAGCAGAGTTGGTGAAAAAAAGGAAGAAGAAACAGGAGGTGCGAATCATTATTTTAGAGGGGCTTAGGGTTTATTAGTCGGCTTCCGCCCTACGCAGTGCATCGAATAAAATATATTTATCTTAATACTCAAATATATAAAATTAAAAATAAAAGAAAATTTTTTTTATCTAATTTCTTAATTTTTAATTAAAATTTTGTAATTAATTTATCATTTTATGCTTTTCATAAATTTTGAAATTACAAAAAAAAAAAAAATCTTATTGATCCCTTTAATTTGTAATTTTTTTATGAAAATTATCATCTAATTAATTATTATTATTATTATATATAATTTTATTTATTAATAAATATGATTTATTTTTCTCTATGTATAAATTTTTAAATAAGATTTTTAACAAATAATTAATTAAAAAATAAAATTTACTTGTTTAATTTACTTATTTTCATATAATTAAAATATATCAAAATTAAATTTGTAATTATTTTTATTGCGGTTTACTAATTTCAATAAATTCTTTACAATTTTAGTTTTATTTTTTTATTTATACTTTACGCTCTCACCTACTAAATATGGCAATGATTTATATATAATTGAGATTGATTTTATTAAAAATTAACCATACTATACAAAACACCAACCGTTTCCTATTAATTTTTTAATCAAAATTTTATAGTTAAAAAACATATATGATTTTTCTTTCTTATGCATTCATTATTAAATAAAAATATGTAATAATTTAAATAAAAATTTTAAAAAAATATCTTAATATTTTTCTATAAAATTACTAGCAACAATTAATATAAAAACTTATGTAAAGATAAACAAATAATTTTTTTATTCTTATTTAATACTAATAAGAAGATTAATTTTTTGAAAATATGTCCATTTAATTTATATATATTTATGTCAAAAATAATTAATAATATTAGTATTAAAAAGCTGTATTTAAATTATTAGGTGTTTCTACTAAAATATTATTTTATTTGAAAGAAATTAATTTAGAATATTAAAAAAATTAATAACAAATGTCCGGTGTTATGTATATAAATGCATAGTTAATTTTCAACAAAGCTGATGATAGATATATGTGTGTGTGTGTGTGTGTGATTATGTTAGCTTATTATTTAAAATTGATCTCTTCAATTTGTCTTTTATTAAGAAAATTCTCATCAAATTAATTTCTTCTATGTATGGATTTTTGAATAAGTTTTTTTTAAATAAATAATTAATTAAAAAATAAAATTCACATGTTTTATTTGCTTATTCTTTATATTATCAAAATTTATCTGTATATATGTATGTGTGTGTGTGTGTGTGTGTGTGTGTGTGTGTGTGTGTGTACATTCTAAAATTAAAAAAAAAATATTAAACTATATTTCATAATTTTTAGTATGTATAAAAATCTATAAAAAAAAAAAAAAGAAAGAAAGAAAGCAACGATTTTTTTTTAATATAATTTTCACACTCAATTCAATAATAATAAAATTAAAAAACATAAATTACTGGGGAAAAAACGCGCTCATAGGCCTTCGAAGCAAGCCTAGGGCGCACACATGGGTTATTAGGTCGAGAGAGGCAAGCCTAGGTAGCCATTTAAAAAATAAAAACCTCGCAACTTTTAGTGAATTAAAATTCGTCAAAATCCTTGATGGAAAATCAAGGTTAAATTTTTAGGGACCCAAGTCTATTTTAGGCATCATTTTTACTCCTAAAACACCTCAAAATCATCGAAATAAAGTTAATAAACTCATTTAAAACTCTAAAAACCATTTCAATGCATATAAAAAAAAACTTACAAATCAAATCAAAAAGTCAACTTTGTTTTAGGTTATGATTTAGTTTATCCAACCATTTTATGAATTAAAAATACCATAAATGCACTCTCATCACCAAGATAAACAATCTAAATGCAAGAGCTAGTGAAGAAGTAGTCGGAATCTTGCCTAATCGGACACTTCTCTCTTTTTGTTTGTCTCTCATCTCTCCATCCAAGAACCACAAATATGTTTTGAAAATATGAGGGATCAAAAGTATTATGTGGAAACATGGGGTCTAAAAATAGAAAAAGTATATTAAATTTGTATATCATTGCCCAAAAATGCTCAAAAAATAATGAAAAAACCATCGACATTACACAAATTGCCATCGATGAACCGTGATTTTAGCCTTATGAACTATAATTACCGAATGATCAAGCATCCCGTGAAGGTACGAAATAAAACAAAAAATTTTTCCTTCATCTAAGGCTTTCAAGATTAAATAATTGAATCAACTAATCATACATACACAAATTAAAGCATGAATAAAGGATTACTTTTTGTAGTACAAATTTAACCTTTGCAGAAAAGAGTCGTCCAAGTGTCCAACTTCTATCGATAATCCACGCAGTCCAAACATCCACACAAGAAGCAACCAAAATTTATAGAGTACTTGCTCCACCTTTTTTGAGTTGTTTAACATTTTCTCTTTAGAAATCTTTTCGAGATATTTTGTGACAACCCTAAGAAAGAGGGAGAGAGTTGGCATGTCTTTGGGGGAAGATAAAACTATTTTCTCTCTTTTTTTTCTTTATGTCATGTATGCATAACATTAGTCTCTTTTTGCCGCAACTCTCCCTTCTATTTATAAGGGGAATGGCTTCTTTGTCCTCCAAGGACAAGGAAGTAGAGGCAACAAGTCCAAAAAAGACTTTAGGTTATTGCTTCCTAGTCCTTTAAGGATCGGGAGTTACAATGTATGTGAGCTTTTTAATCTTATCCTTATAAACCTTGATCCTTATCCAATAAGAGTCAAGTTTATCATTTTATCGAAATATCTTATAGGCTTTTAAATCAAACCTATTGACCCAAACTCTTTTAGCCTAATTAATTACCAATTAATTTGGACTATCCAAATAAATTGGGTTAGATATTTTTAGGAGATCCACATTAGGAAACAATTTTTCACATTACCCTTAAACCAAAATTAGGAAACTAATTTTCTTTTTAGGTAACTTATTTCTAAATTTGGAATTGACTTCTAAATTAGAAAAATGATTTCTAAAACGAGAAAATTTTCATTTTAGGAAACTTTTTCCAAGACAAGAAACTTTCAATTTTTGAAAACTTTTTTCAAAATAAGAAACCTTTAAAATTAAAAATATTTTTCAAAATCTTTGCTTTTTTTTAATTATATGAAAGCTTAGACTTATGCGTGTGACTCAATAGACTCCTAAATATGTTGGCAATGTATCAACAATAAAAGACACCTCTTTTTTATCTCTTAAACATAAATCAAAATTGGTCTTTAGCAAGCCATCACGACTACCTAATTATCTAGAAAGATTAATTAATCCGTAATTATCATTCATGAGCAAGGCTACTTATACAATTCGAGTCCTCATATCAATTTATTACGAGTGTGATCTCAAATTTGATTTATAGTCTACTCTATTATGATCATATAAGTTTTCTTCGATTCTCAAATATCTTAGCTCTTGAGTAAACCAAATATACTCTATTGATGTACTTCTACTATGGCCATAAATTTCTTGAGCGAGATATTTATCAAAGTGTAATATGATAACTCTTTTAGCATACAAGGAATAACATATCCAATATTAGTCATCCACCTATCTCCATTAGATTCCTAGTGCACCTAACGAATCTCTTAAGTGCAACCCTTTATTGGGTCTATCAAAATGAGTATCAAATTACATAAATCCTCTAATGAGATAACCCCGATGGTTTTAAATCAAAGGATTAATTATACCCATCTTGTATGAGATTCTCATAGACTAAATCAAATAGGTTCTCATGGCTAGTCAAATCCAGGTAATATGTTTCTCTAACATTAATCACCTAAGTGCTTGATTTGGTATCCCTATATTAATAGGTATAAGATCTCCTACTCGTTATCTTATAGCATGAGCATAGCACTCACAAGTCTTATCGTATATAGTCAATGTCCATTCTTGACAATACTATGACTTGAGATATTTAATGATACCATTTAAGTGCATTAATATTTATCTCACATCTTTCGATCAATCATTAAGTAGATCATATGGACTTCTATCTAATTCCATCAATAAATATAAATAACAAAAATTAATAAAAAGACTTCTTTTATTAATAAAATAAAGAATGTAATATTACAATAAGTCAAACTTATCCAAACATCGTTGGATCTTGGACATCTACACTAATAATCTCTCACTTACAATAAAGGCAACCAGCCATGTCTCTTATTCCGGACGAACGAGTAAGGGTCTCATGTTTCAACTATGATAAAGGTTTAGTTAAGGGGTCGGCTATGTTATCATCGGTATGAACCTTTTCTATCCTTATACCATCACGATTGATAATCTCTCTAATCAAGTGTTAGTGTTGAAAGTGTGGACCTTTTCTATCCTTATATCGAGTAAGGGTCTTATGTTGCATCATGGCTCGTTATTATTATAGAACAATACTATTGGATCAACAATGCTAAGAACCACTTATAGTCTAAATAAAAATTAATGAATCTAGACATGACTTTCTTAGCCGCTTCGCTATTACTATATATTCGAGTCTTAGTTGTTGAGTTGGTCACTTTTCTTGTGTAAAAATTTTCAGCTAATAGCACCACCATTTAATTAGAAAATGATTATTGACTATGACTTAAGTCATCATGGTCAATTTGAAAATGAGTATTTATGAACCCTTTCACTACTAGTTAATCTCCTTCATAAACTAAGAAAACATCGTTGGTTCTTCTCAAGTACTTAAGAATGCTCTTTATTATAATCTAGTATTTTTCATCTAAATCAGCTTGATATCTATTATATATGCTCAAAGTATATGAGACATCAAACCACTTACATAACATGGCATACATAATGATCCCATGGCTAACATATAAGGAATACAATTTATCTTTTTTCTTTCATTTTATGTGTTAAACCACTCACTCTTAGAGAGTTTTATACCATGTGATATTGGAATAAATTCTCTCTTGAATT